ACAACAGCTTGTGAACAAGACTGAGCAGAGATCTTATGCTCTCCAGAACAGGACCAGTTGTATTATCTGTAAGGATCTTGAGAACAGAACATCACCACAGCTGACACTGTTCCTCTGCCTGTTTTTCAGCAAACTCCACATCTGTTGATCCTCAGTAACCAGCGCAGCACATCTCCTCATCACCTTTGGATTGTAAAGTTTGAAGAAAACAGAAGCAACAAAATGGAGAACATCCACTGAGTCACCAGTGAGGCAGGAAAAGCTGACCTGGAATCTGCAATAGTTCCTGGCAGCAGAGGCTCTGGACAGCCTGGAAGTGTGGGTTTACATGCTTGCTGGGTTACATACAGCACTGACTCAAACACAGCTTTGAGCTTGTGGGATGGGAACGAACAGTTTTTACATCAGCTAAATAGCATTACAATAAAAAGTCCAGTGGATATCAACCACCCTGGGCCCATTTTAACCAGTAAAGATGCTCTGACATTCCAGTTAGGCCAAAAGAAAGCTCCTGGGAGCTCCTTGCTATGGAAGACTCACCTTAATGTAGTGCAATCCCCAGACACGTGGACTCTGCAGCCCCTATAGTAAGGGTGAGGGGAAGTTGAGTGTGACAGGGAGAGGCAGGGACCCTTTGGGGCCCAGCTCCAGCACTGACAGTCAGTGCCATACAGCACAAGCCTTGAATGGGTAACAGCACCTCGCTCACTGCCTGAAGAAAAAAAAAACACCACACATTTCTGTGTCTAGCTCTGCAGCTGACATCTGAAGAACAGCATTATCTTCCAGACAAAGCCAGAGCCTTGACATGTTTGGGAGCACAGTGCACCCTTGAGAAGCCTAATTGCATTCCCCTGTACAGAGGCACACCTCATTTCCTCCTCCAACTCCACTGACCTGCATTTCCAGCACCTGGGTGGTGCATAAAGAGCCCTCCACCACCGATGCCCTCTCCCCCTATGGCTATTTGTGTTTCTATGTGGCTTGATGAAATGGCTTCAAGCTTTACTCAGAACTCTGGGGCTGGAACACCTAACTCATGCACTGAGATGGATTCTACACTCTGGAAACTCCATCTTCTACACATGTAACATCATTTACATCATTTTGAGATATGTATGCGAACTCCAGAAGCGACCCTGCAGAGCTGCACAGATCCCCATCTCGCAAGCCTAGGCAGGGCAGTGCTTTCTGCCAAGACATCAGCCTCTTCCACCAGGAAGCAACAAGTCCACAGGGTATTACTTCACACAAGTATATTGCCAACACTAACAGCGCTGTTGCATTAGAGAGAAGAGTATTTGTCAATAGTAGCAAAGCAGCCTCTCTGCATTCAGGTCATGATCTCTGCAAGCCATAGGCCAATTTCCTTAGGAGAAACATTCTCAGATGGACAACTTATTCCCTCCTCACCCCTCTCCTGTGTATCAAGTGCTTGTCACCATCACACTACACAACAATCCTCGCATAGCATCAGTCAAGGGACTTAGGGGCTTCACTTTTCAGAAACAGATGGGCACAGGGAAGATTTTGGTGACATCCTGACTGCAGGGGGCTGTAAGAGTCTAAATGAATTCACTGCTAGCTATTTTGGTTTCTGACATAAGCCAATGAGAAGAGCACATGGTGACAACGTGCCCTCTGGTGGCAGCGGCGCTGGGGCGGGCAGAAGCACATGCAAAAGTTCACCCCACCTCACCTTAGCAATTACCACCTACCCATCTCAGTTGTTGCTCAGAAACACCAGGCTCCCACGCCAGCCTCCTGCAGGCCCTCCAGCTGCACCAGCACCGCCCAGTTCAGAACTGAAAAAGCCTTGGGCTTTCCCTACCAAGGAGTGGACAGTCATCCATTCCCATCATTCTTTACAAAGCTGAATTTCAACAGGCCTCACAGCTTTCCCCTCCCTTCCCCCCCCCCCCCCCCCCCCCCCCCGGACTATCAGTATTAGAATAACTATTCAGCTGTAGCTCACTAAGGTTTAGTATGTTTGTCTGGGGTGACACAATAAGGGCTTGGGATTCCCACCTCCTACACCTTCTTTGAAATAATCTGCATGAAGTTCTGTAAAAACACGTGAGCTTCTTTCCTTTCTCAGTTTGAAACCAATCTGAAAGTGCTTCTTGTTGCAAAAGGAAGTGTTCCAATCTCTGGGAAAAAACACCACGCTCAGGAAGACGCACAGACTCCCACCATCCTGCATTTTCTTGTTTTGCTGCCAGCTGACCGATTTCACAGCACTGCAGAGGAAGCTGGCACCATAAACTGGCAAACATTTCCAGCGGCAGTGTCGATTCCCACTCCACATGGGCTCCAAAATAAGGATGTCACCCTCCACCTATGGACAGGAACAGCCAGCATGGTTCTGCTCGCTTCCAGATTCCTTCTCTTTCACATCAGACCCCTGGCAACATCTTTCAGCACAGCCCTGAAGCACTCCTTCTTTCACTACGCCTCTTTCCCCTCGGCTGCCAGTCTCCTCCAGTGGCTGCGAGCAGCTGCTGCTTCACACACACCGAGAAACCCTGACATCACAGAGGAGCCAGACCTTTATGGAAGCTTCTCCCATCCCACCCCAGCAGGCAAAGGGAAGCCGTGCATAACAGAATGATGCACCCACGCCATAATGTGGGATGCAGCACCTGTGATTTTAGGAACTTCTGCACATATTTAGTTGAGGGGAGTTCCCCAGGCTCTGGATTTTCAGCTTGCAACCAAGTCCAGCAGGGACTGCAGTACTCTGGGAAGCTTGCACCATCACCAACAGTATTCTAACATCAGCTGGTGCATTTCATCAGTTCTGAGAGCATCTCAAAAGGCATGCCAACACTTACTGATGGGAGAACGACATGCAGAGGAGCATAGAGGCTTGTGTATGGTTATTCAGCAGGCTGGCTGCAGTTAGGACTAGAGCTCAAAATAACAGCGCTCTGCACCAATAACCAGAGCACCCAGCCTCCCCCAGCACTGCTCACTGCAGGGCTTCCCCTGCCACCCCCTGCCTGGTGTCCAAAGAGACAGTTTTGTTTTCTGAAGTTTATGATACTTCAGGATGGGGAAAAAAATATTCCCAAGAGTAAAACAAACCACAACAACAACAAACAACAACACACAAAATCAACAAAAACCAAGCAGGCAGCACAGGGCTGTGAAGTATTCTCATTTATACAAGAGCTCCCACACGTGAATAAACCAAGTAATGCAGCCATTGAAGAAGAACGTCAGATGGAGGCAGCGGGAATCCAGGCTAAGTGACTGCCAACACCCAGGTGGGAACAGGGCAATTCAGAAAGACTTAAATAACTTGCTGTGAGCTGCTGACAGCTGTGGAGTCAGAGAGCCTCTGCAGGGCTCCATGCTCCCTACAAGCACTGAAGGCAGAAACACAGTGCCCTCATTCTCTATAACTGCTCAGCATCTCTTCTTTCTGCCTCCTAGAGAAACACCCTCAGCTGCTCGGGAAGACAGTGGATGCCCTCCATCCATACTGACAGAGACAAGCATAATAAAGAATCTGAAAGTCAGCTGGAGCAGGAAGAATCTGTGCTGCTCTGCAGATCAACAGACAGGTCTCCAGAGCGGGAGAGGGGCATCGGGCCTTGATCAGTATTCTATAGGATTGTCTCTATTTTTTTATGAAACAGATAGATATGTAAACACCTGGAGGCAAGGAGTCAAACCCACAATTCTTTCTTTTCATGCAAATGCTATAAATAACATGGTAAGAAGTGACATTACAAAGTACTGGAGACAAGAGATCAAGAAGAAACTGTCCTCATGCACGAGGACTCACCAGGAGTTACAGATCTGCCACAAGCTGCATTTATAATAGTGCACCTTTCCCAAACTCAGTGAGGTAACTCAGCTAAAGAGCATCTCCATCAGTCCTCTTGTACAGACAGGGAAGCAAAAGATGTGGGAGAGCTAGCAGATGGGAACAGCACACCAAAGTCCCGAGCTGCATGCATCTCCAACCCACAATTCACCCACTGATTCTGCAATGGGCTCCCACCGGCGCTCTCTTCTGCCTGAAATATTTCAATCTCTACCTTCACACCACTCATGTCGTTTTGTTTTCTTTTTGCCCTTCGTCTGAGCATGATGGCTGGCATGTTATACCCTGAGAAGGAAACACTACCTCACCGTGTATTCTGATGCACACAGTACTCATCAAGCAAAAGTACCTTTCTGCTTGCTTCCATGTTTACACACCCCCTGGATTCGTTACAAGAAATGAAACTGACTGCACAGAAAGCTTAGACTGAGGGGCACGAGTCTCTCCTGGAGCCCTATTGATATTGAACCATCCACAGCTCCCCATCACTCCTGCAGACAATTCCAGCTCAGCCTCAGCCTCTTCTCAGCGGTTGCACTGCACTGCTTTCAGTACAGACCCGCCACTCTCACACCCTTTCCTCCCCAACGTAGCTCAGTCACCCCTCAGCAGTTAACCAGCAGGTTACAGCTTCACAACACGAACCGTTCCCCCTTCCATCTCCTCAGGCTTCCTCAGCCCCGTCAACCCACTCACCTCAACCAAGACCTCCAGAACCAGCACTTCGCACACAGCCCTCAAGGGAAGCTCGTATCGGCCTCCATGCCCGGCGGGACCCCGACAGACACACAGGCGGCAGGGCAGTCCCCGGTCACAGCACGCCAACACCTTCACGCACGGGGACCACGCCGTAGCCGTCAAAGCTTCGCCCTCCCCCCCTCGCACTTCCAGCCTTTTAGAAGCGCCTCCTACCTTTGAAATCCAGCAGCTCCCCCTCCCGCACGACGCTTCCTCGCACCCATCCTTCCCCGCCCGCTCTCGGCTCCACGCGGCCGCAGCCCTTGTTTACGCCGCGCCCCGCGGAGGGCCGAGCCGCCGCACAGCGCCGGAAGCGCGGGGCGGAGATCGGGCTGAAGGTTCGCGCAGCTCTCAGCAGCACAGCCCGGAGCGCTGCCGCCCGCACCGCCGTTCGCTCTTCCAGAGGCTCGCGACGGGAACGCCGCTACTGCTGCTCGTTGTCCTCGCTCCCTCTCGAGCGCGCCGGCAGAGCTGGGATGAGCCGCAGGCCCCGCGCGCCGCCTACAGCCCCCAGAGTGCACCGCGCGCCTCGAGCGCGGCCCCGGCGCCTCACACATGCGCATCGTGCTGTATGGCTCCAAGATGGCCGACGCGGCGCCCGGCGGTTCCGGCACGGTAACGGCAGCTCCTCACTGGGCCGCGGGGTCGTTACGGAGGGCATCCCTCCGAGGAACCGGGCGGAACGGCAGCGGCCTACGCCGGCCGAGGAGCCCAAATGACTGCGGCCTGCCAGCGGCGGCCTTTAGGGGGAGCTGAAGAGAAGGAGGCGCTGATTGGCTGGATGGCTGGGCGGGGGCGGGGTTTGGTGGCAGACTTTGATTGGCCCAAGCTCTTCTGCTGGAATTGGCGGAGAGGGCCGCGGGGCGGGGTTGGCCGCGAGGCGGCTTTGTTTAAAGGGACCGCGCACGAGTGGGAGGGCGGGGTTGGAGGGGGGAGGGGTGCAAGGTGATGCTCCCCGTCCGTCCGTCCGTCCGTCCGTCCGTCCGTCCGTCCGTCCGTCCGTCCGTCCGTCCGTCCGTCCGTCCGTCCGTCCGTCCGTCCGTCCAGCTTATGCATAACTGTGTGCATTTGCAGATTTCTGTATGCCTGTCTGTGTGCATATGCGTGTGTGTTTATGTGTGCAGATGTGTAGATATGCCCATGTATTTATGTGTGTGTTATCTCCACGTGTGTAGTTTGTGCATGTGAAGAATCTCTAGTTGTAGGTTGCTCCAAAAGTAATGCCTCTTATTTACTTGTGTGAAAGCTGCAACATCTACAATGAGCCAAATAATACTATTTGGTAAAGCATGTTTGCAGATAGAAACACTATTTTTCAACGTGGTTACCATTATTTTTATCATCATTGAACAAGAGCCTGCATGCTGCACTCATACTGCCTGTGTGACCCACTGTTTCTGCTGAAACACACCACCCACAGCTTCACTGTGCTCACATCTGCTGTTCTGTCTCCAGAAACATCCAGAAAGCATTGTTGGAAGTCAATGCGTGCCTTCATGCCTTTTTTTTTTTTTTTTTTTTTTTTTTTTCACAGAGGAATTCAGTAATATCTCTTTGCTTCATACGCACTTCTACATTACACACCATCTTGTCAGGCTGTTGCCATCTGTCACATGGCAATGTAATGGTTACAGAACGTTGGCAGCAAGGTTCAGCCTCTGTTACCATACTACCAACATCCACCTCTGATGTCAAGGGCCAACAGCATAAAATAGGAGGCATTACTTTCAGAGCAGTCCTCAAACGTGTATGTCAGTAGGTGTGAGTCAATATGCGTAGGTGTCAGTGCTGCATGTGTACCCTTGTGATGTGAGCAGGATGTGTGAGCCCAGCCTGGGTGCTGGCTGCATGCAGGCATTTGGGTTCAGTTTGAGCTCTGTGTCCGCAGAGGTCGGGCAGCAAGCACACGACCACGCCGGCGGATAACTACTACCTGGCCCGAAGGAGGACTCTGCAGGTGGTGGTCAGCTCCTTGCTCACTGAAGCTGGCTTTGAGAGTGCTGAAAAGGCTGCGGTGGAAACACTGACAGAGATGTTACAGAGCTGTGAGTCCCCGTGTCACCATTGTGGTGATTTAGGGCAAAATCACCTTGAAGTTAATTCAGATTTGCTTTTGCTCTTTCTGTTGTTTTTTTGCGTGTTTGTTTTGTTGATTTTATTTGTAATTTCTTACATTAATGATGTTAGCAAAAGCAGAAGGCTTGGCAGGGCATTAGAGCACAGCCCTGGGGTCACAGACCTTCTGACTGTGAGCAGTTTGTCTGAACTCAGTGGTGCTTATCTTACTCAGTGGGCATTAGGAATCCTAATAAGGTATCTGGAGACTGAGATGCTACCAGAATAAACAGACTGGTAACCAAGTTCCAGACATTTGGTTAGTGAAGGCTGTAGAAATGGGACTGTCTGGCAGTTCTGCTCTTAATTTCCTGGGTGATGTGCCTAGGATCTCAGCTTACAGTTTTTTTATGTTGATTAATGATTAGGTTTGGTAGTTTTTCATGCTGTGTTGCAGATTTGCTTTTTTTATTTGTGAAAAGCATCTGACTTGATAATCAGTGTTTCCATACTTCGGCTGTCCTTTACTTTGACATATGCAGGCTGTAAGATACCAGATTCTGGAAGCTATTTTTTATTCCTTGCTAGGTGCACAGTGTTACTTCTAGGTCTGCATCCCTGCCAGGAGAGCAGCAGGCCCACAGGCCCACCAACCAAAAAAAAATAAAGAGGAAGGGATTTCAATGGTTTACAAGCTGGTTTGGCCCAGGTCCATGGCTGATGGGGCAGGGGGACCAGGGACCAACACCGCAGCAGAAGGGAAAGGGGAAAAGGGGGAGGGTAGGGAGATGGGAAAGAGCAGTCTCGTGACTGGCAATCAGTTTTATCTTTCCCACTGAATGCAGTCCTCTGGGGTGTGCAGTTCTTCTGTTCTGAGAACCAGGTACCCAGCAAATAAGCAGTCCACAGAACTGGAGCGTTAACTCTTTAACTCCCTGTGCTTTACATGATGTTATGATGTGGAATACGAGTTACAAAAATCATAAAACCATGACACTAGATTTGCTAAAAATTCAGGAGTTGGGCTGACACAAATGTGTGGTCGGTGACTGAAGTGAATATGTAATAGTTGTTGTTGATTTTTTCCCTCCAGATATTTCTGAAATTGGAAGGAGTGCAAAGTCCTACTGTGAGCATACAGCCAGAACACAGCCTACACTCTCTGATATAGTGGTTACTTTAGTGGAAATGGGTGAGTAGCTGACTCATCTCACTAATTCCAGATGCATACATTGCAGGAGAATGGGTGCTCTGTGTTGCCATAACAATATGTTGCTGGTGTTGCCAGTGTTTGTGTGATGTCCACCATTCTGCGTCTCACGCAGGTGATCCGATATCACTGTTGTTGATGCAGTTTCTATGCATACAGAGTACATAATTTTCCTTCTTCTTGGTGTGATTCCTTTTTCCTCCTCTTCTGTATTTCAGGGTTCAATGTTGAAACGCTTCCCGCATACGCAAAGCGCTCCCAGAGGATGGTCATCACTGCCCGTATGTGAGAAGTCCTTTCTTGTGCAGGAAATAATTGTCATTTCTATCTGCTGGCATCCAGAGGGCTGCTGCTTTTCTCATGAACGGTGCAGTCCAGTGCTCTGGGGCACACAGTTTGTGTTAAGGATTCCTGTAATTATGATGTAATATGTGAAGGAGGACATCCTTTGCCAAATCAGTTGCTTTTGCTTCAGCATCCTCATTGCACATGAGAATCCTCAAGATGATTTTGGTTCTCCTTGTGTAGGAGAGAGAGGTCATGTAAGCCTTGTTCTCTTTGCCAATGCTGATAAAAATGCCAAACACAACCTGAAACTGTTGCTCATAGGATGTGCTCTGTCCCTATCACAGGACCTGGAGACATGAGTCACAGCTTGGTACAGACTAGCACTTCTTGATGCCTAACATTTGGCAGAATGATGCTGGCTAATTTAGTGCATGTGCTTTTTTAACCGTAGCTCCTGTGACAAATCAGCCTGTGACTCCCAAAGCCCTGACAGCTGGGCAGAACAAGCCACATCCATCCCACATCCCTGGCTATTTTCCTGAGTTTCCAGATCCTCATACCTACATCAAGACACCAGTGAGTGAAAAAAGACTTTTGTGCTGTTTGGATTCTGTCTGAAGTCAGTAATGTTAGGAAAGCGCGTGTGTATTTTTATTGTAGCGCTGTTCCAGAACACTCTTTCTGCTTCCTTGGCACAATGCTCGTCATTTGCACATTGTACTTGTTTGAGTTTTATGGCTGATATCTGTAGCTGTTTGAAAACGTGTGCATGTTGAAGGTCAGTGCTTGCCTGTAGCACCCGCGTCCTAGTAGTGTTCGGAACTTGGTCTGTCTGCATTGAATCTAGTGACTGTACTTGTTGTGTCCTCCCTGCTCTACAGACATACCGAGAGCCAGTGTCTGATTACCAAGTGCTGCGGGAAAAGGCAGCGTCTCAGCGGCGCGACGTGGAAAGAGCTCTCACCCGCTTCATGGCTAAGACAGGAGAAACGCAGAGTCTCTTCAAAGATGACGTTAGCACATTCCCATGTGAGTTATCTAGGAAGCTTGTGCTGTGAAGGACAGACATCTAACACAGTGTACACGCAGTGTTCTTGCGATTGCAGAAGGTGGGCACTGAGGGATCCCATTCTGAGGCATGGGAAGGGAGGGTGATGAGGGACTTTCTATTTTAAACAGGCATAAAGACCTCGGGTTCATAATAAAGCCTTGCTTGCCTCATGGTAGGCTTCCACTGTAAATGAATGCCCTCTTTCTTGTGATGGTGGAGAGGGGTTTGACTGATAGATCCTCTCATTCCCTTATCCCAGTGCTGTCTGAGTTTCTGTAACTTCTGTACAAGTCATTTCTTTTCTCACACATTTCTGTGTGAGGCAGTGGAGGTTGTTGTGTTTCTCCGCCTGCAAAGCAGGGATGACAATTCCCACTTTCCCAAGCTTGGCTGAGAGCACAGCCTGTGTTATCTTCTGGGGAACTAAGTAAATACTTCAGCCTGTGAGGCAGTTGAACTTGTATGAACAGTCAGGAATGAATTTTTTGTGTTTGTATAATGCTGTGTCCATGACTGGAAACATAAAGGGTCTTCAGAAAATAGGGAATTAGAGACTGCCATCTTTTGGGGACAGCATATTTCATTCCTGACTCCTGGGAGCGGCAGAAGAGGTGTGCCTATTTTGTTTAAAATCAGAACTATGAAAGGGTTTGGTTTCAAAGTAACTGGTTACTTTGTGCTGCGGAGTCTCTGAGTTGATGAGCTGTCTCCCACCTTGCTCACTGCGTCCTTTTCCCCAACCTTAGTGATTGCTGCCAGGCCTTTCACTGTACCCTACTTGACAGCTCTTCTCCCCTCTGAGCTGGAAATGCAGCAAATGGAAGAAACAGATTCATCTGAGCAAGACGACCAGACAGACACAGAGAACCTCCCCTTGCATATGAGCACGGTACGCCCCCCCTTAGAGATCAAGATCCCTAGGGCCTGCCTTTCTTAAACATACGAAACCTTCGTCCGTCTTCCTTGCAGCTGAGCAGAGGGGGTGGAAAATGGTTGCATTTTACCGGATGTAAATGACTAACACTGTCATGGTTCTTTAACTTTCTGCAAAATACATTGTACAATGAGGTTATCCAGTGTTGGATCACGAGCTTTCAATGCAACCTTTATTTCCATGTTAGAGGAGAGAGGATTGTGCCACTATTCCATGCTGTTCTCAGAGGGGATCTGCTTATATTAAAAATCTGGACTTCCCACCTTTAATGCAGCTTTTTGTTTGCTTCTGTTTATCTTGGCTGTTGATTATGTTTCACCCTTGTGTTTTGTGGTTTGAACTTCTAAGCCTTGTTTAGACTAACTGTGGTTATTTATGCTTTTTTTTTTTTGCTTTTTTTTTTTTCCTGTGCCAGGATGATTCCGGACCTGAAAAAGAGAATGCTTCAGTATTACAGCAGAACACCTCCTTGTCTGGCAGCCGGAATGGGGAGGAGAATATGATAGACAACCCTTACCTCCGGCCAGTGAAAAAGCCCAAGATCCGCAGAAAGAAATGAAGTGTGGTCAGCTGGCTGCTAGAAGAAAGAGGAGCCCATTTCTCTGGCTGTTATGAGTTGTCACCTCTGCTGCTGTGGGTAGGAGGCATGGAGCACAGGAGGGGCAGTCTGACCGAGTGACAGAAGCAGAGGAATGATCTGCCTAACAAACTACACTGTCATCACTGTTTGCACTGCTCCCTCTTTCTCCTCTGCTTTCCTCCTAACTGGGATTCCTAAGTGGTCAATTGCCTTAAAAGTGGTGAAAACCACTGAGTTACAGATGGGAATTGTCTCATTTGGTTTCTTCTGACTGTTGGGGAGATTTACTCTTTAAAGAGGCGTGGGATGCAAAGATTCTTGCTGCTCTACAGAACACAAAGACATAATTTGTTTTTGGCTGCCTTACAAGCTAGGAAAGAAACTTCTGCAGTGAACCTTGTTTAGCTTTATAATCTGTGAAGCATGTATTTAGAGAGAGAAAAATCCCACAGAGGTTTCTTTCTTTTGGTTGTTGGCAGGTAAAAGCAAACACGTTTATTGAAGAATGAAGTGTAAATGAAAGCTAAGATGGCATTTATTCTCAGCTTTTCTGACTGCAGCTGCACTTCCAACTTAAAAGTGCTGAGTGTGGTGTTTACCCTACTCTGCTTTGAGATTATTTGCTAGCAGTACCAATGGCAGATTCAGCAGCTGCCTCAGGCTCTTTTTGAGTTCTGTTGTTAGTTTCAGCACAGCACAAGTCCTTTGAGAGTTCATGCCTTCACCAGCTGTTTTGAAAGATTCTTGCTGCAAAGCTTGGAGTATGGAATAAAGCTGTATTGATTACAGTCTGCAGGGCTGTGCTATCGATCACGCTTTTTAATTTTGTCTTTGTTCAGTATGGGCTCTTATCAACAGAAGTTGCTCTTTTTTCTTTTCTTTCTTTTTTTTTTTGTTGTTGCTATTGTTGTTCCCTTTTTTCCTTAGAGAAGGACCTTTATTTCAGCTCTGAAAATGACTGCTGGTGGGATTGCTGTAATTGTTATCCAATTATGGAGGCCTTTCCTTTACTTTTCATTTAGTCTTTACTTAGGGAAAATATGCACAGAATTCCTGTAACAAAGTACTCCTAAGTACTTGTTTGGTACAGTCTCCCAAGCATGATATTAATACCTGAATTCTGTAGTTCATACTACATCAGCTTTTTCCCATTCATGCAGGTAAGTTCTGAAGGGAAAGTTGCTTTTAAGCAGTAGTCAAAACTGCACCTCTTTTAGATGAGAATTTGGTGCTGCGAGGCAAAGCCTGCCTGCTTCAGACTGCCAACTTACTGCTCCCAGAGCAGTGCCTGGTGCACAGTCAGTTGCAGTCAGAGGGAACAGAGTTACGTGTGGTTTGTTCTCTTCTGTTAGTGAAGGTACCCCTCTGTCCCCATCACCCAGAGAGGAGGAAGAAGAGGAATTATTTCAGCAAGATTGGAAGTATTCCTGACAAACTATTTGAAATCGCATCTTTAGCAAAAAAAAGTCCTGCATGTGCCATTGCCACTTTTGCTGGTGCCTTGGTTGTACAGAAAATCAAATGTACAGACATTATGTGTATATATATATGTATATAAAAAAATATATCTTTTTTTTTTTTTTTTTTCTACCTTGGATTAGATGTTTTTCATAATGAAAATATCTCTTTCTGAATAGGGGAAAATCTGGAATGAAAATATGTTCATAATAAAAGAGATTTTATCTTCTACAAGCCAAAGCAACTGAGTTCTTAACATTTCAGGAAGAGTGGAAAAAAACCACCTGAATGGAGCCTGAATGTGTGCTCACGGGGGAATGGTGAAGTTCTCACCAACTCGAAGGAGGCCTCATTCTTCCTGCTGTGTCTCTTCCTTTCTTTGCAATGATGTTTGATTGCTGAGAAGGTTGGGAGTTTTCCAACGCTGTGTGTTCAGTGAGGACAAAGTACCTCCCTTTATGAGAAGGTTTTTCTCTGTCACAAGTGGAACATGTGGTTGAAAAAGACTGCAGAATCCTTGGTGCTTTTTAGTAAGTCCTGCATCTTTCTGATGTGTTTTTTTCCTTACAAAAAGCTCAAGAAAGATAAAGGATACAGTGTCAGCCATGAATGCAATGATGCAGCCATTGAAAACAGGCCTTACAACAGTAAAATGTGCAGGGGATAACAGCCCCTCCTTGAAGAGTTTTCATCAAAAGGTGCAACCGAGAGTCAGCAACTGCATCCCGTCCTGGCAGCTGCAGCTACAAAGCTGCCTTGTGTGGCTGGGAGGGTCGTGCACTGAGAATAAAGGCTGTGAGCAGCTGCACTGCATGTGTGAGAGCACGAGAAGCCTGAAAGCGGGGAACTGGAAGAATGTATCTCGTTTTTATAGTCACAATTGGGCTGCAGGTGAAATGATAATGTCACAGCTAAGCAGACCCAGAGAATGCGAAAGCTTGCATTGTGGTTGGCAGTTATTTCGAGTACAAATATGGTGAGTTCCCAGTTTTCCCCTGAGATCTGATCACCGTGTGTGCAGGCAGGTTGTAAATATTTATAGAAGTCTCTGCAGTCTGAGCTGCGCCTTACAGAAGCACCTGAAGGCAAACACCAGAACCTCTCTGTTTCACACTAGGGTTATTTTTGTGGCCTCACGGGTTGCTCGTAGATTGAGAGCAGCTCTTCCTGTGCATAGGGCAGTGCTGGTCAGGTCCAGGCACGGCCACCCAGTCTGGCCATTCCCAGCCCTCCGTGCCCAGGACGTTTGCAGTCTGTGAGGTTAATGCAGCTGACTGCACAGAGCCATTACACTTCTTCCCAGTGCAGCAGTACTGCACAGCTCTTCTCTGACTGCGGTGCATTCTTCTACTGGAAGGAGATCAGTGGAAGAGGAAACCCTGAGGTGGTGAGGAAGCTGAGGAAGCAGGTAGTGGTGTCGAGGAGTTAACTGTGTTCCTTTCTGATGCCATCAAGGGCTGGATATGGGGGTGAAGCCCCCTGTGGCAGGGGAAACCATGCTGGGGAGTGCAGCGCCACGATGTGTCTCCATGGCAACCTGCCCAAGATGGCCGCCCCCATGCCTGGACAAGGAGCTGAGGGAAGCAGTGCTGAATGCTGGCCCCAGCGATGCCAAACACCCGCAGAGCCAGGAGAGACCAGGTGCCAGATCAGGTAATCAAAACTAATTGAAGAAATGTGGCTTTGAACAGGTTTTATTTGAGGAGGCAGAGTATTGCAGGCAGACGTGCCCATGGCAGGCATGCACAGGATGCATCGCTGTTCAGCCCTCATACAAACTCAGGTAGGCCACGCGGTTCTGATACTTCCTGAATTCTCTGTCCACGATCAGCTGAAAGAAAAGAGAGCACAGGAAGACACGGAGTGGTGTTGAGCACTGCAGGCTGGTTCACCAGCTGGTTTTCCTGACTCTCAGTGTTTCAAACTGGAAAGTTTTTCCAGCAGAGCTGTGCAGAGAAAGAAATCTGGGCTCCGATCTTCTCACTTTGTGGATGGAAACTTATTTCTAGAGCAAACTCCCTACTCAAAGCGTTTTTGAAGGACTGTAGCTGATTTTGCAAACTGGCGTTTTCTGACAGCAGCTCACTTTGTGTCTCACTCCCTAAGCTGGTACAGCTCCACACCGAGCAGGCCAGAGAGGAGAGGATGGCAAAAGACAGTGCTTAAGTAATCATCTGATTTCCTCTGTGAGAAATATTAAGCTGGGAATAGCATCCCCTCATCCCTGTCCATACCTTCTGAACTTCCATTTTTAGCATCCTCTTCGCTGGCATTGGCACTAAAGACCAATCTGGAGACCCAAACTTCATTGGCCAAGTGATCTTTTTGTGTAATCGCTTGTCTGCATCATAAGTTCCAGGTCTAAAGAAAACAGAAACAAAATATCTCATTTCTAGATCTGGTGTATGATGTTTGCAATATGAGAATTAACCAGGCCTGCTTTGACCTATGGGAAAAATGCATTTTGTGGTCTTCTAGTCATCATAGGTTGAAGACTGAAGCAAAGGAGCCTTTTGAAGATAATTTAAAAAAAAGAAAAAGAAACAAAGCATTACTGGGGACTCGTTACATATCTTCTATTTCTGTCTCAGTATTTCTCTCCTCTAGTACTCCTTTTTATTAGAAGAGTAAGAAAATGAGTCATATTACCCAGGGAAAAGTTCTTTCTTTGGAGGTTTATCAGGAAATCGTGGTGTCTTAGAGGAAAATGGAGCATAGTTAGACTGGCGTTTTCTCTCCATATTGCAGAATGGCTGGTATGTTCCTGGTCCGGGAGTCGCCATCTGCAAGAGAAAAAAAATCAGTACAGAAGATTTTGTTCTGCAAGCCATTTCTGAATGCTTTGAATCAGAGTGTTTAATGCCAGCTGGCTAGGCACTGCAGGCCTGCTGTTCAATGCATGTCCTGGCTACCCTGATAGCACAAGAAGAGCAGAACAGATCAGATCTGTGCTCCCTGCTGTTTACCCAGCCTATCCTGTGACATCTCTCCTGATACAGTGTTAATCTTCAGAAGCTGGGTCGCTAAACTAGCTTTGTTCAATTAGTACAACTTGAGCTCCCTTCCTGATTTGCCTCGCTACGTACACCTAGGTGTGTGTGAGAGAGATCCAAAGGAATACGTATACAAAAGCACGCATCCATGTTTCCAGAGCTCCCATGATTGGTGATTGATTTCTAGCCTCAGTGCTTGCGACAAAGCTTGGCATGGGGAGATCTCTGACCACCATTACTTTAAGCTGGAGGCAGGCCAGCACGTGTTCACAACTTACAGTCTGTGGTAGGATCAGCCTACAAATTCTTTCAGAGCTGTGGCACTGCCTCTCTGAAGCATCCTTTTCTTACCCGTGGCTCTGGTACGAATCGCCGGGCCGTTCGGGCTCCTATCGCGTAACCTTTCATGCTCAGTGGTTTTGTTCCAAAGGAGTTCCTGAAGCTGCTTTCCTGCGGTTAAAAAGCAGAAGCATTGTTTGCATCAACGGAATAGGAGAAGTACCTGAGCAGCAGACATCGTTCCTTTAATTTCTCACTAATCAGAGTATTAGCACAGCTGGAGCTTTGAGGACTGGTTAATTTAGAAGGTAACTTTTCTAGGAGATAAATGTATTTTTTTGATATATATGCAGATTTATACAAAGGCTTTACAGGGCAGGCACGGAGTACGCTGTGGCTGGCTGGCCGTGCTCTTATTACCTGTTACTTATCACTTACTCCTTACTACTGCTCCTATAGCACATGTCTTCTGTGAAGGAAAAGCTCTGAGAATAAAAAACAAACTTACCTCCTGACTCCAGTAGCCGCCTGGCCCTAGGAAGCGGTTTCCCCTGATGGCTGCTAGCTGGGTTCCCATCCTGTTTGGAGCAAGGTGGAGAGGGAACATTTTTTGATCTTGGCGTGACCCAAAGCAAATTTGTTTCTGCACATCTGTAAAACCAGGAGAGGGAACTGAGATCAGTGTGATTCACCCATGAGGGTTTGACCACTCGCTGCTCTTCTTCCTCCTCAGGTGTCTGCTGCTTCCTGAGGTGGGCTGTATATCTCAGTTGCCCCTGGATGTCCTGGCAGGGCCTGCTCTTTGAATGACTCCCTGCTGCCACAAAGACTTATTCTTCCCCAGCCTGGGCAAGGAGGTGCATAGCAGCCCAGTCACAGGAAAGACTGCGAGGGGATCCTGATGCTGTTGGAGATGCAGGGCCCATGCTCGCAGCCCCCCATGCTGTGCACACCTCACACAGCTCACCTCTGGGCTGCCACTCTGCACGCATGCTGCCACATCAGGCACTTAAGCAACTCTGTGTACTGTAGTTGCTATGGATACGGGGAGGGGTGCTGGAGGAAATACTGGCAGTAGGAGCTCTTGAAGCGTGCAGGAAAAGGAGCAGCTTTGATAAAAGCCCTGGGGATCACACTGTGCTTACTCTTGCTCCCAGGAGTTGCAACTGCACAGTGAAATTCAGACTCTGGCAAAGCAGTCCATAGAGCATGCTGTCAGGACCCTTCACTGTGTGTTTTCAGACACAGCAATATCCCGTGTCATCTGCTCCCTGTCTTTTTCCCTGTATCTGGCTGTCATGATAAGATAGTAAGAAATTGCTGGAAAAAGATACTGGAATTAAGTCTACCTTCGGGATTTGAGCCCATCCCACAAGTGTAAAAACTGAGAACGAAGGAGCATCAAAATATTACAGGCAAGATGAGTCCAAGCAGCACGCATTTTACTTTTGCAGAACGCTTTATTGACCATTATTATTCCATGGGATTCATTCAGAGGGGAGAGCTTGCTCTCACAGAATGGGTGGCTTCATGCCCAGTTGCAGCAGGAGCAGCTGGAATCAAAGACGAGACCGGCCTGGCACGACTGCGTGAAGGTTTCGCCATTATTGCAGTTGTAGAACTTGCTCTTGTTGGTTGGATCTGCGTAGATGCCGTTGGCCTTGCCAGCACAGAATGCACTCCCACCTGAGCTGTCGGGATTGCTGCCGGAGCTGCCACTCTCACTCCCGCTTTCACTTCCTTGCGTATTACAGAGAACTGCGGTGGTGGTAGGACTGGGCGTTGTGGGCACACAGCCTGCGAGAAGAGCAGGAAAAAGCTTATTTTATTGTAGGCAGTTTCTCAGCTCTCCTTTTCTGCTGCTGGCATCAGCAGAAGAGCGACTAAACTTTGTCCCCCTCAAAGTCTGGCTGGGTTCACTGTTGGCCTTTGAAATATCGGGACCCACACGTAAGTTCCAATCTCACACTTTCATCCCGGGGACGTAGAGTAAAGGGGTGTTTCCAGCACAATCTCCTGCTGTGGTTTCCACAGAAGAAGTGTGTCCACCAAGGCCTTACAAGTGAAAGTTCATGGGCTTCTGAAGCTCTGCACCAGCAGCAAGCTAGGGGATCCCCTGCAAGCAAGCCCCACCACTCAGGTTACTCACTGCTGCTTTGAAGACCAAGAGCATTCTTCAGGGTGGTAATCAGGGGATATCTGCCCTGTTTACAGAAAGTGCCAGTGAAGTCATCCATATCAAGGGCCCAAACCATAGCACCGCCATAGTTGTTCTTCTTCAGCCAGTCAACCTGTGCAATGCCAGGGGAGAATGAAATGACTGTTTGTCCCAAGACGTGCTACTGCAGAAGGGCTCCTGCTCTGTCCTTAGTGCAGCTGCACCTCCCACCCACTGTACCTTGATGTTGAAGCTCTTGATGTTGTCATAGCCAACCCATTCACTGCTCTTGTAGGCATAGGGCACATCCTGGGGAGCATCCCAAGCCTGGGTGGCCCCAGAGTCCAGGAAAGTGCAGATCTGGGGAGAAAGGGAGAAGGGGGAATTTTCTTGAGTATCATGCTGCGTGCAGCAGCCATTCAGAAAGTTGCATGAATCCTTTCTATGAAATTATTTGAAGTAGTATCACAAAAGTGATATTATACACACCTCATAGTAAGCCAGCGTCCCAGCCTCCTGAGTGTAAGGTCCAGCAGGTCCTGGTCCTGAAGTCGGAGCTCCGAGACCATGATTAGATGGGTTTTGCAGTCTGAAGGTGTTTCCATAGGCTGGGAATCCCACAACTAGTTTCTCAGCTGGGGCACCATTGCTTTTCCAGTAATTCATAGCATAATCCTGTTAAAAACAAAACAAAACAAAACAAAACAAACAACAAAAAAACCCTGAATTGCAGTCTGTGCAAGGTTTGGTAGACAGGATGGTGAATTCTTGCATTATTGTCACTGCTCTGACCACAGTGCTAACCATTCTTACACGGGCTCCTAAAATACACTTACAACATTGAAGTAGATATTGTCACCAGTGTCACTTGGGCCTTGGTATAGAGGGCTGTTCTCCCCTGTTTGTGTATCCCATGAGCCATGGAAGTCGTAAGTCATCACATGAAAGTAGTCCAAGTACCTGCAGAGAAAGGTTGCTGTGTCTGCACCCTGGCCAGTTCCATCACGCAGACCCAACTGTTCCTTCACACCTGGCCAAGGGCTGAGGCAAGTTCCTCCTGCAGAGGGGGGAGGCAGAGCACAGCGCAGGGTGGGATTTGTGCTGAAGTTATGGGAGCTGAGAGATGTTGTCTGCTGGCTCGGAGTGGCTGGAGCCCACCTGCTGTTGCCCTTCCCTCCCTCAGCTATCCATGTCTGCCCCAAACAGGCACTGCCTGCGTGGCCTTCTTGCCCTGCACAACAGCGTGGGGCTGCTCAGGCTCGGGATGCTCAGGATGGGCTGTGCCCAATAATGGCAGGAGGAGTGCTGCAAGAAATCTCTTGAAGGAAGCTCTGGAAAGCATACCAGAGAGTTTGCTACTCACTTTCCAAGCTCAGCAATCTGGTAGCCAGCCTGAATGTTGGAAAGTCCTGCAGCAACAGCAGCCGTGATCATGAGACGGGGCTTGTTCACCTGCTTGGCTTCCTGCTCAAAGGCAGCCAGCATTTCCTGCAGGATGACCACAAACGGCTCAGCGTGAACCCCAGTGGGCTGTGGTCAGAGCTGTGCAGATCGGGGGGCCTGATCAAAACCTTCTGTTGTGTCCTACCTGAACCAGGACGGTGAAGAGAGCTTTGTCCTGAGAAGAGCTGCCCCTTGATCCAGGGTATTCCCAGTCAATGTCCAGCCCATCAAATTGGTACTGGCGCAGGAATTTGATGACGGAGTTGATGAAGGTCTGGCGGTTCTCAGGAGTGGAAACCATTGTGGAGAACCTAGGGAAGCAGAGAAGGGCAGAATTGAGGCTTGCTTGGTGCCTCTTTTTGTAGTTCCTCTGTTGCAGGGAAGGAAATGGTTTGAACTTACTTGGCTGTTCCAAAATTCCATCCTCCAATAGAAAGCAAGGTCTTCAGGTTTTTATTCCTATAGAGGGAGGGACATGAACACGTTTCACTGCAAAGAATGGTTCAGTATTGCTGTTTCCAACTTCAGACCAAAGACCAACACGAAGCACAGTGCTCCTGCTTTTCTGCAAAGTGGCTGCTGCAGCTGCATTTGTAGGCTGTGATGTCGTGGAGTGACACCCAGGCAGTAAGTCGGGAGCACTTACTGATGTGACTGATGTTCCTCATCCCCGGAGGATCAATGCTGGCAGCCTGGCCAGCCTTATCTGCCATCACTGTCTCCAACTCTCCTCAGCACCCCAGTGCCAATGCAGGGAATGGCTGCTGTGTAATGGGCAGGTCCTGAACCAGGATTAAATGATACCTGATGCTGTCAGTACGTACTGATTTTTCAGTCCATTGAAGGATTTGTAGAGGGTCTCATCATTCCATTCAATGGTTGTGATCTCATTGTTGGACATCCCAGCAAAGGCGTACAGCAAGTGGGTGCACAGACATGGGTCGATGTTATCAGGCATGAAACTTCCCAGGCCCGGTCTGTATTGAGCCCAGTTGGTGAAATAGCATGACAGCACATAGGCAGTGCCTGCAGGGAAATAGAAATGGGGTAGTGAGGGAAGAATACAGAGAGAATGTGTTCCAAATGCTGTCAGACGTGCACGCTGTCCATGTAACACGAGGCCATGTTAGTTCTTATTACCACCCTTCGTACCACTCAGTCATCCAGCACTGGCTTGCGACCTATGTGAAATCTGATCTGAAATGACTGGGCAGTACTTCCTTGCAGACAAGAGTTCAGAGAAAGGGAAGTGGGACTGGTTGGTTGTGAGCCGTCTCAGCAAAATCATAATTCATTTCTTTCCTTCTTTCTTTGTTTCCATAAACAAGTCTACCTAGGAGCCTCTTGCATACTGATTGATCAGTATGAATCAGGGATGTTATGGCTGCTGAGTCTCTTCCCTAAACTCAGTCTTTCTCCCTTGCTGCCAGGTGAGGACGAACAGAGGCAGAATGGATCTCCAGTGAGGCACTCAGAATGAGGAAGGTTGTTTTTGTGTCTGCTGTACTGCTTTCTTCACCTGTCTGTGAAAGTCAAGCACAGCCTTTCTGCATAGCCACAGAATGGCTGCACTCAGACTTCATTAAAGCTGAGCAGGAAGGGACTAAGGGGAAACTTGTGTGAAGGCAAGCAGCATATTTACACTTCATGCACTCCATGCTTCATTAAAGCGCTGTCTGCAGAGACACAACTGCTGAGTGCTAAGCAGCCTTTGAGTCCTCCCTGTCTTGTAAAAGAGTTAGCCAGTGAGTCCATTCCAGGTACAGATGCTGAAAAACGTTTGGTGGAGCACGTACCTATCTGGGCATTCAGCAGGAGGGCCAGACCTTTGAAGAAAAAAATGTAGGATTAGTCCTTGAACTGAGAAATGCAAGGCACAACTGGGCTGAACCCAATGTAACTTGTGCCCCAGGTCACTTTGAGGAAAGGGGAAACTGTGGTAAAGAGGTCATGTGCCACTAAAATATGAAATGTGCCACTAAAATATGAAATTGAATTTGTTTGTGATCGTTTTGTTTCCTTGAGTAACATACAGGAACATGGATTGTTCAGCACAGGTCTGCTGAGTGTTCATTTGGAAATGGGTACAATTTGTGGAACAATTTCATGTAGAAGCATAGAAAAGAAGCTGGATAGCACACATAGAGAATTTTGAGATTTTGTGGTTTTTTCCTTTGCTTTGTTCAAAAAGAAAATGCCAATTTCAAATAACAATGAACCATATTGATTGTGAATGCATAAAGTATCTTCTCAGCCGTACTGAAAAATCTAACAATCCATCCTGAAAGCTACTGTTATATTTTTTTCCTTTGAAAGGAATGCGCAAACTCTTGAGTGCCATAGCATCTCTCTTTGATCACCTGGTGTAAAAGTGAGAGAGCCCTGGCACTTGTCATAAAGGCAGAGAAGAAGTTTTGAAGCAGGACTTACCGGTAAGCAAAACGAGCTTGGCCATCTTTGACCAGAACTGATCTGCTGCAGACTTTTCTCACTTTTATATGCTGCTCTCACTTCTTGCAAGTCTTGTCAACAAAGATGCTGAAACATTATTGGGCATTATTGGGCAAGATTAGATTACCTTTCTTAGAAATTCTCTTTACCACGACAGACTTTGCGTCGATATCAGCGATTATGCAGAGCAGATGCCTGAGTGTTCAACCTTGTGCTGCCATTGTGTCTGCCCAGAGGCAGCAGGTGCTGCCAAACCTGGGTGCTTTACAAGGGTTTGGTCTCCTTGGCTGGGGGTCGGAGAGGTGAGACTGAGCAGAGCTTGGACCTACAGCAGCGGAGGGCTCAGGAGCTCACTGCTGTTGGCAGGAGGCTGCTCAGGATCCTGGGGCTTCTTGGTCTGACTTCTCCCTTGCCTGTGCCACTTCCCCTGCTGTGAGTCGAAGCTTTGTTCATGGTAAGATGATGTGAAGGTGGTTCAAGGTGGGTTTCAAGGCGGTTGCCAAGACTTGCTGCAATGGGAGCCCTGAAAATGCCCACAAAGTTGTCCGTGTCACGTACTTGTTCTGAAACCACGGACCTGCCTTAGAAGCTCATTAGGCTGCAGACGTGCAGTATGGAGGAGTGAGATGAGATACGGTGGATGATTGACTTTGGTGCTTTGCCAGGGTGCGGGATGGCACTGGCACAGCCTTGCACCCACCCACCGTGAGGTGTTTCTAACAGTGACTGCCAGCCAGCTCTCTAACAAGTGCTGCATTCCAGGAAGGCCTCAGCCATGCTGTCCATGTTAACTCTGGGGCACCCAGGGCAATGCTTTGGATATGTTTTGTTCTGCCTGCCCTTGCTACTGAGATTAGGCAGGTCAGTGTGGAAGGCTGACCTGGGGAGAACTGTAGAGGTCAGTGAAGTGGAACAGTACCTTTTGGATAACCCTGCCCTTACCCTTATCTGGATACAGAGATATGGTTATCAGTCTCCTGATACAGGGTGGTTCGAGCTGGCAGCCAATACTGGCATTTGTGCTGATGGAAATGTTCCGTGGCCATGTGCCATGTTTGCAGTGCAGAGGCATATGCTGGGTAGATGAGCACTGTCTATATGCATGATATATCTGGCTTTGTATTTCTGCGTGAAGTAAAATTGCTTTAGGTCATATTTGCTGTTGAGCTTGTATAAATGCATTCAGAATTTAACTTCTGGATGTCAGAAGCAAAAATGAAAACCTGGGGAGAGTAATGCTCGTCTTCAGCTGCTGCTCTTAGTTTCCTCACTGCAGACAGGCAATGTTGTACCACCTCAGAGAAAATCTGTTGCCAGTCTGGTCCTCCTTAGTGTGAAGTGATTTTCTTAGAAATTCCTTGGGACTTTTCCCTTGGTAATTTACCCTTCACATATCTACACAGTCAAAAGCTGCACATGTACATCTTGTGTCTATGCTGTTAGAGCTCATGCAATCATCAGTGTCTGGGCATAGCCTAGAATTTTCTGTGCACAAGGTTATGCCCTGGGAGATCTACGACTTCCCTGTATACTAAGGATGGTTTCTGGTTGTTTTTTTTTTTTTGTTTTTTGTTAGGTTTTTTTTTTGCCAGTCTGCTAACCCAGCAGTACTGAAAAGCTGACTGCTTTTCTAGCTTTCTCTCTGCTTCCCAGTCTGTTTCTCTGAAAAACTTTCGTGACCACTAAAAGTGAGACCAAAATGGCTTAAGAACGTCCACATTCTTGCCAAGATGCGGCTCTGGCACTTTGAAATCTGCTGGTCATACCTTAACTCTCAGATGAAATGCTGTTCTTCTCTTGCTCCAATCACATAGCCTTTTCTGCTCTGTCATTTGTCTTCAGGAAGCATCTGATGCTCCTTCCTTGTGGCTCAAAAGCATTTTTCAACACCATTTGCATCAGGGGAAATGCAGAAGTGCCTGATCAGCAACATTTAAGTCTTTTCTCTAAATATGCATCTTTTAAATAAATCTTAGTTGTAAGAAAAGGAAGAATAGTGTTGTGATCCATGCTTTGACCTATTGCAATGGGAATGAGGCTCCCCTATTGCTGAGGGCATGCAGTGGACGTCTGGGGCTCCAGGGCACATCAGGAGTGTGTGTGTAAACTGTACATGCTCATTCCTGCACTGGTGGGGGAATCGCTGCAGCTGTTTCAGCGCCAAGGCACAAGAGCTGCAGGACCTTTGAAGAATGATGTCTTTGGAAGGCAACTTTTCCAGAAGGGGAATGCTTTTTTTTTTCCCTAGGCCAAAGGAAAGGCCTTGCACAAGGGCTTCTGGAGAGCCAGGCTCTTGGTTGTTGCTGCCAACTTGCTGAGAGCGCTCTCTCATGGCACAGCATGATCTGCCCCGTCCCCTCTTCCTGTTGTTTTTCCCTCTCTGACTGACTGCTCCACTGGGAAAGTAAGGAAGCCCTGGGAAACGCCAGTCCAGGGCTGTTGAAATGCCACATCTGGATTTGGGCCGTACCCTGGGCATGGATGTAAGCGCTGAGAGAACAAAGATTACGAGCCAGATGAGTCCAAGCAGCACGCATTTTACTTTTGCAGAACACTTTATTGACCATTATTATTCCATGGGATTCATTCAGAGGGGAGAGCTTGCTCTCACAGAATGGGTGGCTTCATGCCCAGTTGCAGCAGGAGCAGCTGGAATCAAAGACGAGACCGGCCTGGCACGACTGCGTGAAGGTTTCGCCATTATTGCAGTTGTAGAACTTGCTCTTGTTGGTTGGATCTGCGTAGATGCCGTTGGCCTTGCCAGCACAGAATGCACTCCCACCTGAGCTGTCGGGATTGCTGCCGGAGCTGCCACTCTCACTCCCGCTTTCACTTCCTTGCGTATTACAGAGAACTGCGGTGGTGGTAGGACTGGGCGTTGTGGGCACACAGCCTGCGAGAAGAGCAGGAAAAAGCTTATTTTATTGTAGGCAGTTTCTCAGCTCTCCTTTTCTGCTGCTGGCATCAGCAGAAGAGCGACTAAACTTTGTCCCCCTCAAAGTCTGGCTGGGTTCACTGTTGGCCTTTGAAATATCGGGACCCACACGTAAGTTCCAATCTCACACTTTCATCCCCGGGGACGTAGAGTAAAGGGGTGTTTCCAGCACAATCTCCTGCTGTGGTTTCCACAGAAGAAGTGTGTCCACCAAGGCCTTACAAGTGAAAGTTCATGGGCTTCTGAAGCTCTGCACCAGCAGCAAGCTAGGGGATCCCCTGCAAGCAAGCCCCACCACTCAGGTTACTCACTGCTGCTTTGAAGACCAAGAGCATTCTTCAGGGTGGTAATCAGGGGATATCTGCCCTGTTTACAGAAAGTGCCAGTGAAGTCATCCATATCAAGGGCCCAAACCATAGCACCGCCATAGTTGTTCTTCTTCAGCCAGTCAACCTGTGCAATGCCAGGGGAGAATGAAATGACTGTTTGTCCCAAGACGTGCTACTGCAGAAGGGCTCCTGCTCTGTCCTTAGTACAGCTGCACCTCCCACCCACTGTACCTTGATGTTGAAGCTCTTGATGTTGTCATAGCCAACCCATTCACTGCTCTTGTAGGCATAGGGCACATCCTGGGGAGCATCCCAAGCCTGGGTGGCCCCAGAGTCCAGGAAAGTGCAGATCTGAGGAAATGGCAAGGAGAGGGAATTTAGTAACTGTCCCATAGAAATGGGTGGCTGGAATATTCCATGAATCCATGGGATAAAATTCCTTTGTAGGAAGTTTTGAGACCATACTTGGCTGCCCAGGTGTGATGAAACACACATACCTCATAGTAAGCTAAGAAACCAGACTGCCTTGTGTAAGGCCCAGCTGGCCCAGGGCCCGATGTTGGTGCCCCAACAGCAGTGTTGGAAGGATTCTTGAGGATGTAGCTATGTCCATAGGTTGGGAATCCAACCAGGAGTTTCTCAGCTGGAGCACCATTGCTCTTCCAATAGTTCATAGCATAATCCTAAAAAAAAAAGGCATCCTTGTTAAACTTGTGCCCTGAATTTTAGGTTGTAGGGTGAATTCTTAAGCCTCTTACTGTTGGTGCAATTACAGCAGTCTGTGGGAGAGATTACTAAAGTGTACTTACAACGTTGAAGTAGATGAGGTCACCAGTGTCAGCGGGGCCTTTGTACAGAGGGCTGTTCTCCCCTGTTTCTCCATCCCAGGAGCCATGGAAATCATAAGTCATCACATGGAAATAGTCCAAGTACCTGATAGTTTTAATGGCACAATTTCTCTTAATTGCTCGAAGGAAGACTATTCAAGTAATAAAAACTGTATTGGAGAGTTTGCTACTCACTTTCCAAGCTCAGCAATCTGGTAGCCAGCCTGAATGTTGGAAAGTCCTGCAGCAACAGCAGCCGTGATCATGAGACGGGGCTTGTTCACCTGCTTGGCTTCCTGCTCAAAGGCAGCCAGCATTTCCTGCAGGATGACCACAAACGGCTCAGCGTGAACCCCAGTGGGCTGTGGTCAGAGCTGTGCAGATCGGGGGGCCTGATCAAAACCTTCTGTTGTGTCCTACCTGAACCAGGACGGTGAAGAGAGCTTTGTCCTGAGAAGAGCTGCCCCTTGATCCAGGGTATTCCCAGTCGATGTCCAGCCCATCAAATTGGTACTGGCGCAGGAATTTGATGACGGAGTTGATGAAGGTCTGGCGGTTCTCAGGAGTGGAAACCATTGTGGAGAACCTAGGGAAGCAGAGAAGGGCAGAATTGGGGCTTGCTTGGTGCCTTTTTTCCCCTTCCCCTCCCTTTCCAGTGTGCTGTTGTGGGAAGTGGGAACTTACTTGGCTGTCCCAAAATTCCATCCTCCAATTGCCAGGAGGGTCTTGAGATTTCCATTCCTGCAAAGGGAAGGACATGAACACGTTTCACTGCAAAGAATGGTTCAGTATTGCTGTTTCCAACTTCAGACCAAAGACCAACACGAAGCACAGTGCTCCTGCTTTTCTGCAAAGTGGCTGCTGCAGCTGCATTTGTAGGCTGTGATGTCATGGAGTGACACCCAGGCAGTAAGTCGGGAGCACTTACTGATGTGACTGATGTTCCTCATCCCCGGAGGATCAATGCTGGCAGCCTGGCCAGCCTTATCTGCCATCACTGTCTCCAACTCTCCTCAGCACCCCAGTGCCCATGCAGGGAATGGCTGCTGTGTAATGGGCAGGTCCTGAACCAGGATTAAATGATACCTGATGCTGTCAGTACGTACTGATTTTTCAGTCCATTGAAGGATTTGTAGAGGGTCTCATCATTCCATTCAATGGTTGTGATCTCATTGTTGGACATCCCAGCGAAGGCGTAGATCAGATGGTCACAGAGGCACGGGTCGATGTTATCTGGCATGTATTTTCCCAGGCCAGGCCTGTATTGAGCCCAGTTGGTGAAATAGCATGACAGCACATAGGCAGAGCCTGCAGAGAAATAGAGGAGGTGGAGCGGGGGGAGAAGAGAGTAAATAGGCGATGCTGATGTCCTGTTATGTATGCTGACCAGGTAACTGGCTGCATGACATTTCCTGTAACCATCTTTCATGCTTCTCAGTATAGCCAACACTGCCCTGGGCTGCACTTGCTGTAAATTAAGACATAAATGAAATCTGATCAGAAATGTTTGTGCAATGTTTGCTTGGGGCTAAGGATTTCAAATAAAGTGATGTAGGGATGGTTATCCTTCTGGGAACTGGCTCCCTAAGGTCAATAAGGCATTTCCCTCTTTCTTTGTTTGTACCCTGAAACTCACGAATCAGGGTGGTTGTGGCTGCTGTGTCTCTTTCCCAAACTGAGCCTTTCTCCCTTTGGTGAGGAAGAACAGACGTAGAACAGATCTCCAGTGAAGTGCCTGGACCGAGAAGGCTGCTGGTGTATCTAATAAGCTGCATGCCTGCCTTGACTGTGTGTGCCAGTGCTAAGAGGTGTTTGGTGAGCAGTTTTGGGGTGTGAAGCACATACCTATCTGGGCGTTCAGCAGGAGGGCCAGACCTTTGAAAATCAAAGTGAAGGATTAGTCTTTGAAATAAACATCAGTGCTGAAAGAAGCAGAAATCATTTGATAGGTACACTGTTATACAGACAATAAAATTGCTCTGTGCCAATATTTTAGATCAGTATGAACCCAACAAAAGTTCAATCTGAGGTCACAGTTCATTCTGAGGGAAGCGAATGTGAGGAAAAGCTTATGGTCATTAAGATCTCAGTATGCTGCTCTGGTTAATTCCTTCAGTAGGTGATGATTCCTGTGAATATAGCTGAAATAACAGAGACTACAGGCAAATATGGACAGTGATAGCTCTTTTAGCAAGGCAGTTTTTATCCCTAGAGTGTTACGTCTTGGTCCAAGGTTATGTTTTGGTTAAAGAAATCAACTGAATAAAGAAATTGCATATCTAAGGAAGAAGAAAACACCAGAGCACTCCAGCATATAAACAACCTGAAAATGCTGTATTGATTTTCCTTTGAATAAATAGAAAATGCAACCTCTTGATTTCCATTGAACCCCTCTTCTATCACCTGATGTAAAAGTGAGAGAAAAGTGAGAGAGCCCTGGCACTTGTCATAAAGGCAGAGAAGAAGTTTTGAAGCAGGACTTACCGGTAAGCAAAACGAGCTTGGCCATCTTTGACCAGAACTGATCTGCTGCAGACTTTTCTCACTTTTATATGCTGCTCTCACTTCTTGCAAATCTTATGTCAACAAAGATGCCCAAACATTGCACAAGCTGGTAAAGATCAGTATCATTAAAATTGAGATACCAATACAATAGACTTCAGGACTTCGCTTGGAGACCCAAGCGTTATCACGGTCCACCATGCTGTGATGCTGCCTGAGCAGTGGAAGAACAAGATTAGATGACTTTTCTTGGAAGTTCTCTTTACCACTAGAGACTTTGTGTCAATATTGGCATTACACCAGAGTAGATACCTGAAGTGTTCAACCTTGTGCTGCCATTGTGTCTGCCCAGAGGCAGCAGGTGCTGCCAAACCTGGGTGCTTTACAAGGGTTTGGTCTCCTTGGCTGGGGGTCGGAGAGCTGAGATGAGCAGAGCTTGGACCTACAGCAGCGGAGGGCTCAGGAGCTCACTGCTGTTGGCAGGAGGCTGCTCAGGATCCTGGGGCTTCTTGGGCTGACTTCTCTCTTGCCTGTGCCACTTCCCCTGCTGTGAGTCGAAGCTTTGTTCATGGTAAGATGATGTGAAGGTGGTTCAAGGTGGGTTTCAAGGCGGTTGCCAAGACTTGCTGCAATGGGAGCCCTGAAAATGCCCACAAAGTTGTCCGTGTCACGTACTTGTTCTGAAACCACGGACCTGCCTTAGAAGCTCATTAGGCTGCAGACGTGCAGTATGGAGGAATGAGATGAGATATGGTGGATGATTGACTTTGGTGCTTTGCCAGGGTGCGGGATGGCACTGGCACAGCCTTGCACCCACCCACCGTGAGGTGTTTCTAACAGTGACTGCCAGCCAGCTCTCTAACAAGTGCTGCATTCCAGGAAGGCCTCAGCCATGCTGTCCATGTTAACTCTGGGGCACCCAGGGCAATGCTTTGGATATGTTTTGTTCTGCCTGCCCTTGCTACTGAGATTAGGCAGGTCAGTGTGGAAGGCTGACCTGGGGAGAACTGTAGAGGTCAGTGAAGTGGAACAGTACCTTTTGGATAACCCTGCCCTTACCCTTATCTGGATACAGAGCTACAAGCATTGGTCTCCTGATGTAGATTTGAGCTTCTAAAAATAGGCTTATTTCCAATGCCGGTAAAGATAAAAAGCTGGAGCAGCTGATAAGCACAGGAGATGGAAGAGTTTTGAGGGACTCTTTTTCATTTCTGCACATTGGAGGCAGCTGTAATGAGAGCCAGTAGTGCTGAGGTGCAATGAGGGCTGATGTGCCCTTGGATGTAAGGCTCCCACAGGGGACTTGCTGCAGCATTTCAATTCTGCTTCTCAGGGAGAGCTGAAGTGATGTGTGGAGCTGAAGCGCTGCACCTGAGTGAACTGCAGCCCAGGCACGTGTGATCGAAACATATCTGTGGTGGGAACAGACTGTGAATGCATGCAAGGCTGTGGCTTTGCTATTTTTAAGCAAATTCTTCTTTTGCGTGGCTCTGGTATGAAACACTTGGTTCTTGCTTCTACCGTGTAGCCCTTCTTGGCCTGTGGTTTGTTTTCAGGGAGTATCTGATTCTCCTTTCCTGCATCCCAAGAGCAGAAGTGTTTAACTGACATTTTAAAGACAACATTGCATCGTGGAAGGACAAAAATGCCTGAGCAGAAGGAAAGATCTCCCCTGGGGTATGGGAATGAGGCTCCCCTATTGCTGAGGGCATGCAGTGGACGTCTGGGGCTCCAGGGCACATCAGGAGTGTGTGTGTAAACTGTACATGCTCATTCCTGCACTGGTGGGGGAATCGCTGCAGCTGTTTCAGCGCCAAGGCACAAGAGCTGCAGGACCTTTGAAGAATGGTGTCTTTGGAAGGCAACTTTTCCAGAAGGGGAATGCTTTTTTTTTCCCTAGGCCAAAGGAAAGGCCTTGCACAAGGGCTTCTGGAGAGCCAGGCTCTTGGTTGTTGCTGCCACCTTGCTGAGAGTGCTCTCTCATGGCACAGCATGATCTGCCCCGTCCCCTCTTCCTGTTGTTTTTCCCTCTCTGACTGACTGCTCCACTGGGAAAGTAAGGAAGCCCTGGGAAACGCCAGTCCAGGGCTGTTGAAATGCCACATCTGGATTTGGGCCGTACCCTGGGCATGGATGTAAGCGCTGAGAGAGAACAAAGATTACGAGCCAGATGAATCCAAGCAGCACGCATTTTACTTTTGCAGAACACTTTATTGACCATTATTATTCCATGGGATTCGTTCAGAGGGGAGAGCTTGCTCTCACAGAATGGGTGGCTTCATGCCCAGTTGCAGCAGGAGCAGCTGGTGTCATTCATGAGGTCTGCCTGGCACTTTAGCAAATAATTTTTGATGTTAAGTATTGGTAGAAGCTCTTGTTGAATAAGTGTGGATCACTTCACCAGCACAGAATCTGCTCCCATTGGAATTACTACTTCAGTACTTGCTCACAAAACCGTTTCCACTTCTACTTCTGGTGTTAGGAGCTGCAGGGCTTGAGGACTGGATTGCTAATAGGTCAGACAGCCTGAAAGGAAATCAGGAAGGCATTTTCATAGAATCACAGAGTCATGGAATCATGAATTGGTAGAATGGCTTGTGTTTGAGGGGAACTTAAAGATTGTCTGGTTCCCAACTCCTTGCTGTGGGCAGGTTACCATTAGTCAAGTTTACCAGGGCCCCATCCAGCCTGTCCTGGAGCTCCTTCAGGGATGGGGCATCCACAGCTTCTCTGGGCAATCTTTTCCAATGCCTCACCACCAGTAAAGAATTTCCTTCTAACATCTAACCTAAATCTCCATTTTCTTAGCTTAAAAACTGTTTCCCCTTGTCCTGTCACCATCAGACCATGCAAAATGTCTGTGTCCCTCCTGTTTATATGCTCCCCTTAAGTACTAGTAGGCTACAATGAGGTCTCCTTGGAACCTTCTCTTCTCCACGCTAAACAAACCCAGCTCCCTCAGTCCTTTATAGGAGAAGTGCTCCAGTTTCTGATCATTTGTGGCCTTCTCTGAACCCTCTCCAACACCACTATGTCTGGGAACCCAGGCCTGGATGCAGTAATGCAGATGGGGACGCACAAGAGCAGAGTGGAGGGATAAAATCCCCTCCCTCGCCCTGCTGTCAGCCCTCTTTCCGTGCAGCCCAGGATACCGTTGGCCTTCCAGGCTGCAAACACACACTTCTGGCTCACATCTAGACATCCACTGTCGGGACCCACAAATCCTTCACCTCAGGGCTGCTATTAATTCCTCCTTTTTCTTTGCCAAAAGTGGATATTTCCAGTAAGCATCCCTACCTTCCCTCATTTCCTTCCCTCTTTTCATGGTCCCTAGGTGCTATTAGCACAGCTTTTTGTTGTTGACATGTTTTTAACAAGCTCCATGCTGCTCAGGTTACTCACTGCTGCTTTGAAGACCAAGAGCATTCTTCAGGGTGGTAATCAGGGGATATCTGCCCTGTTTACAGAAAGTGCCAGTGAAGTCATCCATATCAAGGGCCCAAACCATAGCACCGCCATAGTTGTTCTTCTTCAGCCAGTCAACCTGTGCAATGCCAGGGGAGAATGAAATGACTGTTTGTCCCAAGACGTGCTACTGCAGAAGGGCTCCTGCTCTGTCCTTAGTGCAGCTGCACCTCCCACCCACTGTACCTTGATGTTGAAGCTCTTGATGTTGTCATAGCCAACCCATTCACTGCTCTTGTAGGCATAGGGCACATCCTGGGGAGCATCCCAAGCCTGGGTGGCCCCAGAGTCCAGGAATGTGCAGATCTAGGAGGAAATGGCAGGGAGAGGGAATTTAGTAACTGTCCCATAGAAATGGGTGGCTGGAATATTCCATGAATCCGTGAGATCAAATGCCTCTCTAGGAAGTTTTAAGTTTGTTTCTGTTCCTGACTGCAGAGATGTGGTAGAACACACATACCTCATAGTAAGCCAGCAACCCAGCTTCTCTTGTGTAAGGCCCAGCTGGCCCAGGGCCCGATGTTGGTGCCCCAACAGCAGTGTTGGATGGATTCTGGAGGTTGAAGCTATGACCATAGGTTGGGAATCCAACCAGGAGTTTCTCAGCTGGAGCACCATTGCTCTTCCAATAGTTCATAGCATAATCCTATTAAAAAAGCATGTTAGTTCATTCTGTGCCCAATTTGTAGGCTTTAGGATGAATACTTAAATATCTCACTGGCTAAGCAACCACAGTGGTCAGTGAGCAGACTTCCAAATTGTACTTACAACACTGAGGTATACATTACTGCCACTGTACAGAGGGCTGTTCTCCCCTGTTTGTCCATCCCCAGAGCTGTAGAAGTCGTAAGTCATCACATGAAAGTAGTCCAAGTACCTGCAGAGAAAGGTTGCTGTGTCTGCACCCTGGCCAGTTCCATCACGCAGACCCAACTGTTCCTTCACACCTGGCCAAGGGCTGAGGCAAGTTCCTCCTGCAGAGGGGGGAGGCAGAGCACAGCGCAGGGTGGGATTTGTGCTGAAGTTATGGGAGCTGAGAGATGTTGTCTGCTGGCTCGGAGTGGCTGCAGCCCACCTGCTGTTGCCCTTCCCTCCCTCAGCTATCCATGTCTGCCCCAAACAGGCACTGCCTGCGTGGCCTTCTTGCCCTGCACAACAGCGTGGGGCTGCTCAGGCTCGGGATGCTCAGGATGGGCTGTGCCCAATAATGGCAGGAGGAGTGCTGCAAGAAATCTCTTGAAGGAAGCTCTGGAAAGCATACCAGAGAGTTTGCTACTCACTTTCCGAGCTCAGCAATCTGGTAGCCAGCCTGAATGTTGGAAAGTCCTGCAGCAACAGCAGCCGTGATCATGAGACGGGGCTTGTTCACCTGCTTGGCTTCCTGCTCAAAGGCAGCCAGCATTTCCTGCAGGATGACCACAAACGGCTCAGCGTGAACCCCAGTGGGCTGTGGTCAGAGCTGTGCAGATCGGGGGGCCTGATCAAAACCTTCTGTTGTGTCCTACCTGAACCAGGACGGTGAAGAGAGCTTTGTCCTGAGAAGAGCTGCCCCTTGATCCAGGGTATTCCCAGTCAATGTCCAGCCCATCAAATTGGTACTGGCGCAGGAATTTGATGACGGAGTTGATGAAGGTCTGGCGGTTCTCAGGAGTGGAAACCATTGTGGAGAACCTAGGGAAGCAGAGAAGGGCAGAATTGGGGCTTGCTTGGTGCCTCTTTTCCCCTTCCCCTCCCTTTCCAGTGTGCTGTTGTGGGAAGTGGGAACTTACTTGGCTGTCCCAAAATTCCATCCTCCAATTGCCAGGAGGGTCTTGAGATTTCCATTCCTGCAAAGGGAAGGACATGAACACGTTTCACTGCAAAGAATTCAGTATTGTTGTTCAGTATTGCTGTTTCCAACTTCAGACCAAAGACCAACACGAAGCACAGTGCTCCTGCTTTTCTGCAAAGTGGCTGCTGCAGCTGCATTTGTAGGCTGTGATGTCGTGGAGTGACACCCAGGCAGTAAGTCGGGAGCACTTACTGATGTGACTGATGTTCCTCATCCCCGGAGGATCAATGCTGGCAGCCTGGCCAGCCTTATCTGCCATCACTGTCTCCAATTCTCCTCAGCACCCCAGTGCCCATGCAGGGAATGGCTGCTGTGTAATGGGCAGGTCCTGAACCAGGATTAAATGATACCTGATGCTGTCAGTACGTACTGATTTTTCAGTCCATTGAAGGATTTGTAGAGGGTCTCATCATTCCATTCAATGGTTGTGATCTCATTGTTGGACATCCCAGCGAAGGCGTAGATCAGATGGTCACAGAGGCACGGGTCGATGTTGTCGACTGTAAAGCGTCCTGAGCCAGGCCTGTATTGAGCCCAGTTGGTGAAATAGCATGACAGCACATAGGCAGAGCCTGCAGAGAAATAGAGGTAGGTGGTTATGAACTGCACTGAAGAGAAGATAGTAACTAAAGAAAAATGATCACAATTAGATCTCATCAGAAATGATTGGGCAGTGTTTGCTTGGGAGAAAAGAGTTCAGCGAATGCGAAGTGATTCCAGTTATCCTTCTGGGAACTGGCTCCCTAAGGTCAATAAGGCATTTCCCTCTTTCTTTGTTTGTACCCTGAAACTCACGAATCAGGGTGGTTGTGGCTGCTGTGTCTCTTTCCCAAACTGAGCCTTTCTCCCTTTGGTGAGGAAGAACAGACGTAGAACAGATCTCCAGTGAAGTGCCTGGACCGAGAAGGCTGTTGGTGTATCTAATAAGCTGCATGCCTGCCTTGACTGTGTGTGCCAGTGCTAAGAGGTGTTTGGTGAGCAGTTTTGGGGTGTGAAGCACATACCTATCTGGGCGTTCAGCAGGAGGGCCAGACCTTTGAAGAAGTGAAGAAAACAAAAGGATTTTAGTATTTGTGTTTGCAAAGTCAAAGCTCTAGTGCAAGACTGGAGTGACCCCAACATGCAGGCAGTCTAACATAACTGGGACTGCTGGTACTTTTCACTCTGAGAAAGGGAGATTAAGGCAGAGAAGTCATATATTGTGAAAGGCTTATTTCTTTATTGTTTGTGATCATTGCATTTCCTTCAATCAAAACAATTTGAATCAGCTTGATTGTTTGTTTTAGAGGTGGTGCAATTTTTAGAACAGCTTCAAGTGGAAATATAGAAAAGAAATAGAAGTAGTCCCATCCAGAAGTCTCCTACCTTGGTCAAAAACTTCTCTTAAATTTCAAATAGCAAAGAACTATATTGTTTTTTAATGTATGAAGTATAGACCCCAGCTGTACTGGAAAATATGGTAACCCTGAAATTCCCTGTTGTATCTTTTCCTTTCATAGTAGTGTGCAGTATCTCCTAATCCCCAGTATAAGAGTGAGAGAGCCCTGGCACTTGTCACAAAGGCAGAGAAGAAGTTTTGAAGCAGGACTTACCGGTAAGCAAAACGAGCTTGGCCATCTTTGACCAGAACTGATCTGCTGCAGACTTTTCTCACTTTTATATGCTGCTCTCACTTCTTGCAAGTCTTGTCAACAAAGATGCTGAAACATTATTGGGCATTATTGGGCAAGATTAGATTACCTTTCTTAGAAATTCTCTTTACCACGACAGACTTTGCGTCGATATCAGTACAGTAGATGTCTGCTCAACCTTGCGCTGCCAGAGGCACCTGGGTGCTTTACAAGGGTTTGGTCTCCTTGGCTGGGGGTCGGAGAGGTGAGATGAGCAGAGCTTGGACCTACAGCAGCGGAGGGCTCAGGAGCTCACTGCTGTTGGCAGGAGGCTGCTTAGGATCCAGGGGCTTTTTGGGCTGACCTCTCTTGCCCCTGTCACCAGAGCCTGCTGTGACTTCGTGGAAGTGGAGTGGGCTTCCTGGTGATTGTCAGTGAAGGCAAAGCAAGTCAGTTTGTGCTGGGCAGTTCTCTCACTTACTCTTGGGACTGTTGTTGGAAAGAAGGTGGGCAGAAAGCTTTAACAAAGTGCCTTCAATGGTGAGTGCGCTGCTGGCCTGAAAAGCAAACGTTTGATGGTACATTGCTAGGATAATTTCCTTTGAAGAAAAGCATTATTTCTTGGAGGCCACACACTTGGAGAGAGAGCCCAGGGACAATGCATAAATCAGGACATATTAAAACGACTTCACTTTTGTCGTAGAGGACTTTAGATTACTGTGTGAGCAAACAGTCACTGCTAAGTTCTATGTTCAGCCTTTTTTCTCTTCAACTGCCGTTACGTTCCTATCTCTGGAGCATTTTCTCTCACATCTCTTTTTACAAATTGATGATATGAAAGATAGGAAGCTCTTCACAAGAGTATCCATGTCTTCACTTGATGCTCATTTGCTGAAATGACCTGATGAAGAGAAAAGTAATGGTAGGAAAGAAGATGTAGGGCTTAACTCTTTCAGCCTGGTTGCCAAATTCTTCCTTCATCTCTTGGGAGAGTCACTCAATCCTGCACATGAAATCTCTCAATTGGGCTGGGAACAAAAAAATAAAAACAGCGAGCACTGCATGTATGGAATCATGATGATGAGCGTTTTAATGTGAAGAACTCTGAAAGTGTTAGAAATGATCCGTCCCTATCCACAAGGGACAGCAAACTTCTTTCAAACCTGTGCTCTGTACCTGGCTGGTTTGTACTTCCTGATGTGCTCTGCAAGATGTTCTCTGTAGGAGAACCTCATTTCCTTGTGAGGTGGAAACTTCGACTCTTCTGAAGAATCTGCACACTCTCACTTTGCATACAGTACAGCCTAATCTGAGAACAGCAGCATATGTTTGCAGGCCTTTTATTTTTATAAGCTAGCCTCAAAAAAGCTCTCACTGCCTAAGGATCACTTAGTTCCACTTAATTCCCATGAGGAAATTGAGTTAAAGGAAGAGGTTTCCTTTACGTGCAGATTCTTGGCTTGCAATTAAGTGAAAGCACTGCAGGAGGCAACACAAAAGCAAAACAAAAGACAGCATGTAGTTTTAAGTAAGGAAAGTGTCTTCTGGTTCACGAGAATCTTGGAAAGTTGGCGCCTTAGTACTGTCAGCAATTAATATGTCCAACAGTAGGTGTCAATGTTGCTTGCTCTTCCTGGTCACATACATAGAGCACTTTTGTAGCAGTCTTCTGGTAACGTGGAAGCAGTGTGCTTGCAGACCAAAAAGCTTAATTGCTGCTTCTCTTTTTTTAGTTGTAAATAAAGGCCTGAGATCAACATACAAATGGACTGCTTCATTCTTGGTATAGAAAAGTAACATCATTAAAGGCAAGTTTTATTTCAGTTCACTTATCCAGAGCTGTACTGCATGCATAACATGTTAGAGAGAAAGAGGAACTATTAAACACTTATGTCCAAAAACTAAACTAACCTTGAAACGTGTTAGGAGCAATGGTGTCTGCCATGGAAGGGTATCCCAGAGCCTCAGAAGGGAACTGATAAACCTGCTTTTTGGCTACCTCAAATGTCTAAATCACCTGCTTATATCTCTAATAAATAATTTAGGCTCATCTTTTGTTTCTTCCACCTTCGTCTGCCAGCACAGTAAATACTTACTATGGGGGAAGCTGGGCCTGGCTGCTCAGATTAAAGACTGACTGAATTCCCATATTCCATGCTATGTGTCTGCCATCTTTTCAACATGCCCAATTTTATTCAAGTGGCGTCAGGTGAAGCTCACTGAAATTGTGTGTCCTTGGCATACAGCCCTTATTAACTGCTTCGCTAAGACTTCAAACCATCTCAGATGTGTTTACAGTTCCCAACCCTTTCCTTCCTATTGGACACTTTTTTGCTATGGAGCAGCCCCTGGTTTTCACACTGCCACGACACAGAACCAAGCAGTCACACTGGAGTATTCATTTACAGTATTTATTACAGCAGTTCAGCAGGTTCTCCAAAGAACTGCCTCTTTTTGCTCAAAGCTCTGTGTACTTGATAAGCATTCTATCGTGAAGATCAGAGCAATTTTATCTACTTCTTCCTAGAAAACTACATCTGAACAAAGCCATCTCCTTCCCAGATGTAGTGAGCAGCTTCAGATTCCTACCCAGGGGCTGGTCGGTTTGGAGTTCAGCTCATGCTCTGAGGCCTGTAAAGAGGAATGTGCCTCCTGATGCCAGTGCATGCCAATGACCTACACCTTGGCCCTGCCTCTGCTGTGCCGTGTCAAATACCAAAGGCTTGGGAGTGTCGAAAAGCAAACAGAACAAAATCAACAACCAGTGTGTGCATAAGTGTTTGAAATAAGAAGTAACCCCTTGTTTTCACCTTGCTAAAAGTGAGGGAGATTTTGTTCTATGATTAGGACAGCTTGACTCAAGGCTGTTTTTATTTCCTACAAGGTCTTAGCTTTGACTTTTTTTTAGCTTAACCTTGCTATCTTGGCAAAAGTCTCCCTGCTTAATGTGGTTTATAATCTAAGAGAGGGATATCAGTGCATCAATGACTGCTCCACAGAGCTGTGCTGCTTCCAGTGCCCAGTCCAAGAGGTGTTAGGAGATACCTGGTCCCCTTCCTTGCCTTGGTTTCTGCTTTAGATTGAGTCTGATCACTTTGGGCTCTAATGGGATTAAGATGGAGTGGGGCTGTGGGCAGGGGAATAAAGAGCATGATGTAATTCCATTAGAGATTCATCCACAAGAGATGAGCCTGTCTGGGTTCTTTTCTCAAGAGCCTTCATGGTATTGCTGGTTCCTCAATAGCTTAGCAGCTTTTTATATCTGAGCTCTTCCTGAAGGACACCGAGTTCCCTGGAAAAACTGTCTCCTCTTTAAGAGTCTGGCCCCACATCCACTTTGGTATACGTACCCTTGCTTAAGTTACTGCCACTGTAATCCAGTGCCTGTAAATGGAGTCATGAAAAGGGATCTCTGCGGCCTCCAGGTTGTGTGACCCCTGTAGGTGTCCTTCACTGTGCAGCCCAGAGCTGATGGTGGCTGGTGTAACAGCACCCCATGCAACACGGAGACAGCTGGAATGCCTAAAATCGAAACGATTACGAAAACGATTCATTTGTTTAAAGATCTCTATTCTTATGCCTGGTTTCCCCAGTACTAACTCCTTGTTCCCGAGTCTGTCCTGCTTCACACCGTCTTTCTCTGGCATTTGATTTCCCTCCTCTCTGCAGCTCATTGACTGGAACTAAAGAACTGCTGACTTTCAGATACCAACCATTCCCTGGCTCCACAGGGGAAATTCCTCCCTTCTGCACGTAGATTCCCAGAAATACACCCTGACTCAGTGTGATTACAGAATGCTGCAGCCATTTCCCAAGCTACTTCTACAGTGTCATCGTTTATCCACCTTTTGTCCCTATGTATGTTTTATTGGGACCTTGAAGTGTCCTTTTCATGAAGAATTAGATGTAATATTGCAATAGAGCATTACACATTTTTTCCTTACATCACAGCTTTTATCTTTCCATTCTGTCTGTTGGCACTAAATAGCTGTAATTAGGCACTGTAAGCACACCCCTTACCTTCTCTGATGTTAGGAAACGCTCAAGCTTGATTTCTGCCAGTCCCGTTCCTTAAATAAATCTTGACTCCGCACTGTGAGCATCTGCCTGATGTTCCCAGGTGGCCAGGGCTGAGGGGATGAGTTCACCAGCTCTCCGTGGTGGTGGTGAACCCCAGTGAATGGTAGGGCGCTATCTGCATGTAGGAACGGGCAGCAGGGCTGGATCCTGCCGCCTACCCCGTCTGAGTTCAAGAACGATTCTGTAACCTGCCAGTAAGAAAGGCCTTCAGAAGTGGGGGTATGTGCATGGTTCAGATCCACAGGCTTGCACTTAAATATCTGTGCCCAAATGCAGGTGTGTGCAGGTGAGCAAAACACACTGAAAACAGGTATATGCATGAATGAATGTGTGCATGGTGTTATTTTAGCTATGGACATATCACACGAAGAATGCTTTGTTTTAGCTATTCTGGATTTTTCTTTCTCTATTTTTATGCAATTTATGTCACATGCAATTATTTATGGTGTGATCTTTTGAAATTTGGATTTACTAAAACATAAGATCTGAAAAATCCACTTAAGATTGGCAGGGCATATTGGAGCCTAATCTATTACAATTTATTATTTATATATATATATGTCATCACTAAGCATGCAGATCTTAAACTTCTTCCATCGGGTTTGGAAGGTTCCATCAGGCTGCCCCATGTAACAGGACCTATTTTCCCCACCTGTCTCACCCATCAATCCCCATGGTCTGCAAGGAGAGGACCAGCTGTGACTAGCTGAGAGCACTGGCTGCTGCCGTCACCAAGCAGAGGGCTGCAGTACAGACATCATCTTGCATTTGTGACCGCATTCATGAGGTCTCATCCCTCAGAATGAATTGTAACAAGGCCCCAGGAAGTTCCTTCTGGACTTGGTTTTGCTCTGAACCCTTCAGAGGAGGCTTTGCTCCCACAACAGCATCCCGTCTAATTACTTATTAAGCTCTTTTTCTGGTAGACGACATCCGCCCATTTCCAATTAATCCTTGCTCACAAGCTCAATAACCTCAGCCATCTGTGCAGGTAAGAGAGATAAGCTTGCCATTAAACATTTACAGGACATAACAACAGAGCACTGAAGCAACAGGCTGAGAGAACCCGGCAGACAGGCTGTGCGGGGGGAGCTGCCCCCCATCCTCCACCTGCCATGCTGCAACTGAAGGAGAAAAACGTCCCTATGTCTGTGTGTGATGTGGGCCATCAGGCACCAGGAAAGGGTGTTCACTCCTCTCAAATTCATGAGTGTTTCTGCGACATTAGCATGATAAAGGCTTTTAAAATGATTCAATAGCACTTAGGGCCCCAGAAATTCTAGCAACCAAACCGCCTTTAAATAAAACATTCTCTACTTAAGCAGCAGCTCTAACTGCCCTTTAACCTCAAAGGCTTAAAACAGCTTAGAAGTCAGTCTGACCGCTTTGTTCAGCTTTCTCAACAGGGTGAAATGTGTCCTTAATTCTAGACAGAGACATCATCTACATCAGATGCACTTCATCAGATACTGTCCTTGTTTTGAAAGAACAGTTTTGTTTCAAAATACTGCCGGGATGGTTTTTATCTCAGTGAGTGACTTTGCCCTTTTTCCCATTCAAGGTTTCAGTCTCTGGGGCAGCAAAGAGAACATCTTTAGCTAATGTACTACAGTCCCTGAACTGCAGCGAACGCCAACAGAGGATAAGTTGAAGTTCATGAAAACATTCACGATTCTGTGATGATTCTATGAGAACTAAGGGGCTACCACTATTCCACTTATTATTGTTATTATTATTATTTTGTAATGAAGCCAAAGCATTCACAACCTTTTAAGAAATCTCAAGATATAGGGGCAGGATTGGCAGATGACTGCTTTTAGGAGAGAAGAGTACAGGAGGCCACAAAAAGGGCAGCGCTCTCTCCTCCGCTCCCTCAGAGCTGAGGAAAAATAGCAGCAACAAAAGCAGAAAGCCTACAAGCTGTGAGCAAACTTCTCGAGGCAGCAGGCAGCAGGCAGGCCTGCTGACACAGGCTCAGTATGGCTCCATTCTCACCAATTCCTGAGCACACAGACATGAACTCAGCTCCATAAAACGGAAGCAAGCCAAACACAGACACAGCCCTGACAGCATGTTTAACTCCAGTGTGGGAGACGATCCAAAATCTCTCGTGCAGTCAACACACCGGAGGGACAGGATGCCATCCTGAGGGACCTCGACAGGCTTGAGCAACGGGCCCAGGTGAAGCTTATGAGGTTCAAGGAATCCAAATGCAAGGTCTTGCACCTGAGTCGAGGCAAACCTCACTACCAATACAAGCTGGGGGATGAAAGGATGGAGCACAGCTCTGTCAAAAAATCCCCGGGGGTTTTGGTGGATGGCAGCTGGACAGGAGCCAGCACTGTGCCCTCCAGCCCAGACAGCCAACCGCATCCTGGGTGCAGCCACAGCAGCGCTGCCAGCAGGGCCGGGGAGTTGATCCTGCCCCTCTGCTCTGCACTGAGACCTCACCTGGAGCGCTGTGTCCACACTTGGAGTCCTCAGTACAGAGGTGCTGGAGCTACAAAAATAATCAGAGGGGCAGGATAAATAACACCTCTCCTGCAAGGACAGGCTGAGAGGTCGGGCTGCCTGGAGAAGACGGGGCTGTAAGGTGACCTGACAGTGGCTTTTCAATATCTAAATGGGAGCTACAGGAAAGAAGGGAACAGACTCTTTAGCAGGGTCTGTGATGACAGAACAAGGGAAAATGGCTTCAGGCTCAACGAGGGGAGATTTAGGTCGGATGTAAGGAAAAAGTCTTTTACAGCCATGGTGGTGAGGCACTGGAACAGAATGCCTAGAGATGCGGTTGATGCCCCATCCCTGGAGGCTTTCGAGGCGAGGCTGGATCGAGCTCTGGGCCACCTGATCTGTCCCTGTTCATTGCAGGGGAGTTGGACCAGATGACTTTTAAAGGTCCCGAACTCGAAGGATTCCCCCCAGGAGGTGGGAGCGCAGGGCCGGCTGCTGCGCCGCGCTGCGCCGCGTGGTGGCGCCATAAACCCTCGTGGGCTGAAGAAACGCGGCGCGCTGCCGTCCATGGCCGCTCCTTTCCCGGAACTCATTAATATACGCTAATGAGCCTCTGGGCATGCGTGATCTCATGTAGAGTGGGCGTACGCCTACTTACTTTATCCCCATTTTTCCACTATCGACTTCATCGCTGAGACTTTTGGCTGACCTTTAGCTGTTTTTCCCTGATTTGGCAAATTCCCATTGTTTGTTAGGCTTCTTCCAAAACAATATATGTGAAATGTGAGGAAAATGTCCTTGCACCTCATGAAATGCTAAGATAAGTAGTCTATTGTGACTCTGTAAGTGCTTTTAGTGAAGCGGAATTAAGAGAAAACAAGGCTGTTCACACACCAAGCAAAGTTCAAATGGAAAGTTTTAGGATTAATACTGGTTGATTCCGTTTGGTAAACTAATCCATCTAAAATACTGATCCCTGTTGCTAGACAAACCAGCCTGAACCAGCATGAAGTTAGTTCAGAGCTGGCTCAGGAGGAAACACGTTGAGCTCTCCCATCTCTTCCTCGTGGGGTGTGGGGTGGTGATGGGGACTGAGCCCACGGGCACCAATGAAACATGGCTGCTTTCTGTTGGCTGAAGGCTTCAGGAGGCTCCTGGTCCCAGCGCAGGCCAGTTTGGTGTATAATTCAGTAAATAATTCTGAATATTGCAGACATGAGAGAAAACCCAGGTAAGCAGAAGACTGTGGCTAACTTGAAAGCAGTAAAAGTGAAATTCATCAAAGGAGCTGCCAATTATTTACTTAACTCAGGGACATGCTGCAGGGAAGGAAGCATTAGGTTTCTAGCGTGTGAATACGCTTCTGCTGGCCAGCCTGCTCAGCAGGGCGTGGGAAAGCTGGAGCAGAGCACGGTCCTGGGCTTAATGCTGTGTTTCTGCCTTTTCCTGG